ACCAATCAATCAACCAACCAACCAACCAACCAATCAATCATCCAACCAATCAATCAACCAACCAACCAACCAACCAATCAACCAACCAACCAACCAAACAATCAAACAATCAACCAACCAACCAATCAATCAACCAACCAACCAACCAACCAACCAAACAATCAAACAATCAACCAACCAACCAATCTTATTTCCCTGCATACTTGCATACATGTTTGGTGTATGTTCTTTTCTCTTTAAAATTAACACATTTTGTTAATTTTCCTCATTTCCACAGTTTTCTGGTCATCATTCACTTTGATCAGGCTCCATAAAGAACCAGTCAGTCCAGTTACCTGGATAACTGGTACCATCTGACAATTCATACGTTACATTAAGCTGTTTTAAACAGACTGAATGCAAACAGGAAGTGATGTCACCTTCAGAAGGTTCCCTGAAGTCTGTCGTTCCTCCGCGGGACGGTCCATCTCTAAAGCGACCCACTGCTCCTCCTCCTCCTCCGCTTCCTCCCCCCCGTCTGTCGCCAGGACGACTGCCGGTACCTCGACTCCGCCCCCCCATGTAGTCGTCCTCTCTGAAACCTGCAGAACGACAGCTGAGTCAGCAGAACGACAGCTGAGTCAGCAGAACGACAGCTGAGTCAGCAGACAGACAGCTGAGTCAGCTGACAGACAGCTGAGTCAGCAGACAGACAGCTGAGTCAGCAGACAGACAGCTGAGTCAGCAGACAGACACCTGAGTCAGCAGAACGACAGCTGAGTCAGCAGACAGACAGCTGAGTCAGCAGAACGACACCTGAGTCAGCAGAACGAAAGCTGAGTCAGCAGACAGACAGCTGAGTCAGCAGAACGACAGCTGAGTCAGCAGACAGACAGCTGAGTCAGCAGAATGACAGCTGAGTCAGCAGACAGACAGCTGAGTCAGCAGAATGACAGCTGAGAGTGACCATGAGGTGACTGAGGTGAAAGGCATGATGGGAGAAAAGAGGAGGATCATTTCTCCTTTATTTCTGCTGACGCAGCTGATTTAACTTTTAATTTAATCATAAGTTTAACTTGAGAACAGTTTATAAATGTTACCTGAATTATTTCATCAATTCTTTTAGATTTCAAAACAAAACTCTGAAACATTTTCTCTAACTCTGTGTTTCTTTCACATGAACGAACTGCCGCCAAGTTTTCACTTTGTTTCAACTTCCTCCTGCTCTCTGATTGGCTGCGGCCCAGCCAGCAGGGCTCTGATTGGCTGCGGCCCAGCCAGCAGGGCTCTGATTGGCTGCGGCCCAG